ATTGGCTTTCACCGAACAGTCTTGAGCATAAAGAGCGCATTTTTTTCTCGGGCGAATTCGAAAATTTTGCATTTCGCGCATACTAAGTAGTGTTTCAGGCTGAAACTCTAGCAAGTCCTAGATGTACCGATGAGCTATCATACACTGAAGTGAAACCGTCATATTCGTGACTGTTGCTATTAGTAAAAAATACGCTCTTCATATTAGTAACTTAATAATATGAAGAGCGTATTTTTTTCTCGGGCGAATTCGAAAATTTTGCGTTCCTCTTTGAGAGTTTTGAGCAGAAACTTTAACAGAGCATAGCTATGATGATTAGCTACTATATGCTGACATGAAACTGTAATATTCGGAACTGTTACAGAGATATGAGGGCGAGCGAGAGAATCGCTAAACCCGGAGCCGTGCAAATTCCTCAGATCCACTTCCTGCTTACCAAAAAGGCTTCCAATCTGCCTCCCTACTCTGTGACCAAGTCTCGTACCAAAACCATTCAGCAGTAGCTCAGGACGGTCCTCAGGGTTACCTGAATATAGCGGCACTTCAACACTGTAAGAATCGGCTCATGGCGCCTTATTACATGTAGCTCCATGCTTCATATCAGCTCCCAACTCTAAACTGGTAAGCCTCCAGTAGGAAGTAGGACCCTCAGGCAAGCTAGTGATGTGGAGAGAGGAGGGCTCATGCTTTCTGTCCTCCGACAGTACCTCAACAAACACAGTAACTATCCATAGCGTCAAAAAAGTCATCGGTAAGTTCAGAAAAGCTCGAAAAAAGCGGATAAGTGCAAACAAGGTCGGTTCGGAAATACCCAATTCTCATGGGAAAATTCATGTTTATACTTTCCCCCATGCAAACTTCGTATTCGTAATGTTCCTCCCTGCCTACCACAACTGCTGTGAATCCTCTATTGTTAGCAAAGTCGCAAATCTTGGTGATAGGGAAATGCTTCTTCCGGAAGTACTGCAGGCCCGGCACCACTTCGACCAGCTCTTTGATGAGACCGTACGATCGCTCAGAGGGATACTGAATACAGAGGTCCCAGGTTCGATTCCCAGGCCCGTCATTTCCCCATATTACTGCCATAGACGTCGTTAGCATTATCTTAGGCTCCACAGGCTCCCTCTGCTCCTCCTCCTCCTCTCCCTCATCCTGTCCAGCTTCCACCGTAGTAGGAACTGTACTGGGCGTATCTTCCCCAGCTGCTGCTTGCCCTAGTGGGAGAACCTCGCTAGTAGGAGGTGGGGTAGGAAAGGTGTGCCTGGCGAGTTATGATTCATAATACGATCGAGTACGGTAACCTATGCACTACACAATGGAGTTTCATCCGCTTCACGTGACGTGGCGTTAAACTCCGTGAAAAACCCGATGTTCGCGGTGATATGCAGTAGTCGCGAGATATATATTTTTCACTATTGTTTTCCATACCACGAATGGGCGAACAAACTCCGTTGTACTTTCAAGAACAATTAAGAATTAATTAGAGGCGTAATTTTTCTAAAAATTAAAAAAAAAATGAAAATTTTTCGTAATTTCTTTTTTTTGAAAAATCGGATATAATCTATATCTAAGCCTTGTTTAAGTTTCAGCCAGAAACACTTCATGGTTAATGTGGAATATTGAATCTCCGAATTCGGCAAGGAGAAAAATACGCTCCTTAGCTATCCGTCTCCATCTTCACGAGAAGATGATTATTGCTTTATCGCTACGATAAGGATCCACGAATAAATAGGGAGTAAGATCACACGTAAGTTTTATGTGTATAACAGAGGCTACTAGCATCAACTATTACTATTATTATTACTATTACTATTACTATTACTACTACTACTACTACTACTACTACTCCTACTACTACTACTACTAGTACTACTACTACTACTACTACTACTACTACTACTACTAGTACTACTACTACTACTACTAGTACTACTACTACTACCTGAACTCATCCATCCTCTCATCCGCCCTAACCTCCTCATCCCCTTCTGGAGGCAGCATCGTAACATCTGCTTCCCTCATCATTTCGATAGTCGTAGTCACCGGCACATCGACCTATTGGCACTATAACCTATTGCCTTTTATGCGGTATTATTACTACCTCCTCTCCTCTAGCTCTAGCTTCTTGTCTTTGCTTTCTAGTCTCCCTCTTAACCTTCTTCTTCTCCCTATATTGTCGTCCGACCTACCATACCACATTTCCGCCACATCTCGCCAGCAACACCCTCCCTACGAGCTCTTGTCGCTTCCATTTATTCGGTATATGCACATCCCCTTCTGGAATCTTCTCCGCATTGGCCGTCTTATGACCTGCATCACATCAATGCAAACCTCCATGTAGCGATTGCAAAGACTGTGGCTCCCCGAGGGAGATTCTTTAGATCTGTCTGCGCTATCTAACGTAGAATTTGAAGAAGTGTCATGTTCCCGTCCTGGGTTTCAAACAGTGTGGGAAAATATGTACATGGTCAACCACATGCGTCGATGATAATGCGGGAATCCCGAGGAAATTTCGGGTAGATATTTTCATTTATACAAATTCAGGTAGAAGTGTACAAAAACCAACAAGAATTTCCAAAAATTTTCACGTAGTTGACCGTGTGCATGTTTTCCCACAAGGGAACCCGAATAATTGTGTATTGTGTTTGCTCTGTTATCCTCCCGATGATAATAATGACAACCCATGATGGAAAATTGCAAGAGCTGCTCATCGAACAAGTTGCTCCATGGTGAATTTTACTACGAGGAGTGTCTGTTCATGGGAGAGCACAAAGTGTATCTATTTTTGTCACTCCCACCAGCATCAAAGACAAGTTTAAGCGAGTTCGTATTAATATATGTCTAGCGCATGCTGTTGTCAATATAGTGACATATGATGTCTTGATTTGACTTTGGGTTTTTGATATCAGTCTGTGTGGATGTAGTATATGCGCTGTTGTCTAAGACTATGACCAACCACTACCCCCGTGATTACGTTGGAGGCATTTCTCCTGAGTTTGGACGAGTATTTTCCGTCGCTCCTTCTTGATGGACTTCTTCACCATTCAGTGCGAAGAGTACAGAATAAAACCCTGCCGAATCCATCACTACGATGCTTCGTGTCATAACAGACGCAAATCGATCAGCTTGGCGTGCGCTACAATCGAAAGTCGCTGTGAATTTGATCGATTATCCCTGCGAGGAGCCTGAGGCTTGTGATAAGAGGCCCCTCAGCGTGCGTAAAAGGGGAATTGTATAACCAGGAGGTGCCTTTGGGATGCGTTTAGTAGTAGGTCCTCGATCGTTGCGTTGCTTGTCGTGTGAATGGGGCGTTGTGGTTACATTGTAGCGTTTTTGGTATATCTAATCGTATTGAGATTGGTGTAATTATCGTATATAGCTTGTTGCTGCCCAACCAGAACTACTTGATGGCTCCTGCTACTGACGCTAAATCGAAGGCGTCTAAGACCGGTGCCGCCCTCACCAAGGGTGTGCAGGTCAAGACCCGCAAGGTCAGGAAGAATACCACTTTCTTCAGACCTAAGACTCGTCAGACTCCCAAGGCTCCCAAGTAATTCTTGGCGACATACCTCGTCGAATTGGCTCTCATCACTATTCTGTAGGTACCCCCGTTCGGCTACTCCCACATTGACTAAGATGGACAAGTACCGCATCATCCGTTCCCCCATGACCTCCGAGTGGGCCATGAAGCACATCGAGGATCTCAACACTTTGGTCTTCCTCTGTGACATCCAGGCCACCAAGCAGCAGATTCGCGATGCCGTTGAGTCTCTTTACGACATCAAGTGCAAGAAGGTGAACACCTTGGTGCGTCACGATGGTCTTAAGAAGGCTTATGTCAAGTTGGCTGATGACTTCGATGCCCTTGATGTTGGTAACAGGATCGGTATCATCTAATCAGCTTCGCGGATATCATTAGTTCCAACGAAATTGGGCGTGGCAGCGAACTCAGCTTGCAGCAATTGTGTTGTGTTGCGTGATTAGTCACACGAATTATATGGGGAGATTGCGATGGAAAGTGATAATGAACATATCTGGTAGGCATACGCCATCACCAAATAATACTAACCCGGTGGCCTGTGTACTCGAGGACAGCGTAGACTGATAAGTAGATCGAATTTTCCGCTTAGTTGGGTATTCTCAGTAGTAATACGGAAATAACCATGTACTAATCATTAATTATCAGTGGGTATTTTTCGCTGGCGATCAAGTCACCTGATCACTTTAGTGCTGGCTCTCGCATCAGACTTCTTGAGGAGCGTTTAATGACGAGTGAAATGTGGTAGATACTGTCCGTTGAGTAAGATCTTGTACATATATCCAATATCCGGAATTTACGAGTTCGCTTCGTGTGTCTACCAGCCAAATGTAGGAGTCATTTGATTACATCGCAAAATGTGAAATTGTAAATTTACATGCGTATATTCGCACGCGCTCCGATCATATTCTCATCCAAATAGGACGAATGTGACCTCGTCGGGTACTTTTAGAACGAAGTCCTTATCTCACATCGTTCGATCTTGACACTACTATATATCTGCTCTCACCGTTTAACCCCTTCACACCTCCTCATACCAATGACCCAAGTCCACGCTAGATTTATTCTGGATAAATCAAACCGATTGTGCCCAATTCACAACCAACGACGATATTTTCGACATCCTCGAATTCAAGATCTGAATATTTACAATGACACGAGAGCGATACAAAATCCCATGAATTAATCCAACTCCTAAACGAAACGCAATTGCTTTACGATAACCTACTTATCACAATTCTCACGTTTCTCAAAAAATGGATCAATATGATCCAACCCATTAAAATAAACCATAATCATCATAATTATCTACTTCACGTCTTTCGCAACCGTGGAGACACACTTGCCGAGCATAACCACACCATTGCCCTCCATAAGGGCAACACGAGACAGACCCTCACAGTTCTTGAAGGAGTCGACAACCAGGGGCTGAATAGGTTCGAATACGACCTCGGCCATCTCGTTGGATTTCAGAGCATGTGGATCCTCCATCTTCTTGCCACCAGTCTCCTTGCCAACCTTCCACTTGATTCCAGCCAAACGACAGGCGGAGCGACCAGTACGAACAAAGGCAATCGGAGAATAACCAACCTTAATCTCGCCAGGCACATCCAAAACTTGAACCTGAGCAGTGAAAGACTGCACATGCTTCAGACTAGTATCCTTCTTGTAGATCATCACGTCACCGGAACGAGGCATGTTATCCTTGATCAGACCCTTGACGTTCAAACCGACGTTATCACCAGGAAGAGCCTTCTCTTGACGAGTATGATGCATCTCAACAGTGAACACCTTGCCGGTACAAGCAGTGGAAGGCGTGTGAGTCGGCATGAACACGACCTCCTCGTTAGGCTTGACGATCCCTTGCTCGACACGGCCAGTGATCACATCGCCGACACCCTTGATCTTATAGATACCAGAGACGGGCATTCTCATTGGAGCGTCAGTCACACGCTTAGGAACCGTAGCGAACTTCTCGAGACCATCCAGCAGAGTATCAATATGGAACGATTCTTTCGAGGTAGGATCACGAGTAACATCCACACCCTTCCACCAAGCCATCTTCTCGGACTTCTTGATCAGATTGTCGCCCATCCAGCCAGAAATAGGGATGATTGGGACACACTTCTCGACGAAGTCCTTCTTCCACCCAACTCGACCAAGAACATTCTTCATCTCATCGCGAATCTCATTGTAACGAGACTCCTTGTAGCCAGCGACATCAGAATCCATCTTGTTCACACCTACGATCAACTGCTTGACACCAAGCAAGTTGATCAAACGAGCATGCTGACGAGTTTGCCCTTGGATTTCACCAGCCTTATGGTTACCCTTAGCAATAGCGGTACCGAAGTTACCATCAGCAGGAACCATCAAAAGAGCAACATCCGCCTGAGAAGCACCAGTGATCATGTTCTTGATAAAATCTCTATGGCCAGGAGCATCAATGATGGTGTAATGCCAGGTATCGGTGAAGAATTCCTTCGTAGTGCAAGCAATGGTAACACCACGCTCACGTTCCTCCTTCTGCCGGTCCATGTAAAAGGCGAAAGCGAAGGAGGACTTGCCGAGACGATCAGCCTCTTGCTTAAGCTTCTCGAGTTCACGCTCAGGAATGCCTCCAAGTTCAAAGAGGAGACGACCAGTAGTAGTAGACTTGCCGGAATCGACGTGACCGCAGATCACAATCGACATGTGAACCTTACCCTCCTTGGCGGTGGACATTGGTGTAAAACTCTCGTAAAGCTGAACCAAGAAATAATAGCTCAGTTACGACGTTCACCAAATCACACAGTTAATACTTATCAGCAGCTCGAGTAATAAGCCGAAATGAACAATTCATTAGGGAATAGACCAACATCTCCAAAGAACGTTGCTGAAGGAATGGTTACAATGATGCCAGGTACTGTGCACAACTTGCATAACCGTTACCTCACTAGTAATGGGCGAGCGAGAACGGTAGTGCGCGTCTTGGGGTTTCTTGCATCGGGTGCGTGCAAAGGATCTGTCAATGTCACGAGCTGAATGGTAGCCACAGGTGTTCCGACTGTTGACCAGTTAGGTACGCTTCTTACGTTTTCGTAATGAGTCGGCCAAGCGCTTTTCCACAACTCGCTCCTCCGGTCCGTAACCGTTGGGTGGACCGTAACGGAGCTCAGGTTGTCGCTCTATTGACGAAGGCTGCGAAGCACAACGATTCGAAGACTTGCCCGATTGCATCTATCCCAGTGGATGTCATTCTCGACAACATCGTCCCATTTATGCACTATGACCAGCCGGTGAAGAACTGCATATTCGTATGTGGTGGACGATCTTCACGTGTTATGGACTCTAATCGCTATTTGAGTACGGTGGAGGTCTACGACGATTACTCGAGGAAGTGGTCGAGAGTACCACCGATGCGCAGCAAAAGAGTCGGTGCAGCTGCAATGGTTGTTGGTGACCATCTCTACGTTGTGGGCGGTTATCGCATCCATCCTGATCAACCTCTTGGATGCGTAGAAATTTACGACCCGTGGCTGAACCGTTGGAAGAGGCTCAGGTCGACTATGGATATTCCTCGCTTTGGTCACAGTCTCGCTCTGGTTGGCGACCGTTATTTATACGCTATTGGCGGCGATTCTCAAAGGCAATTGGTTTCCGAAGTAGAAGTCTTCGATACTCAGACCGAGCAGTGGCTTCAACAACCAGATTTGAAAATATGTCTACCGCGCCCTCTCGCGGGTGGTCGAGTTATCGAGAAGGATGGTCTGCTGTACATCGTCGGCGGTGATGTTGGCTCTTCTCCACTGCAATTCTCGGACCTCATCTACGTCTTGGACACTACGGTGACTCCTCACGTTTGGTCGGTACTTTCGACTCGACTGAAGGTTGGGCGTTCGGCATGCGCCGTCGCATGGCTTGACGAATCCAAATCAGCTATCGGGGTGTTCGGTGGTTATGTGGTGATCGATGGAGACTTCAAAGAAGTTGCCACTTCTGAGGTGGTGCCTCTAGACGGTTCCCATATCGTGCCTCTCCTTGACGCATCAATTCCAGGTCGGGTGATGCCGGTCGCTCATACGAGGAAGATACCTGAGATGCCATCGACTAGAGCTGGCTGTCGTGCGGTGACTGTCGGGTGCCGTGTTATTTTGGTCGGAGGCGAGAACCCTATCCCTGCTAGTGCCATGGAGGTCTCGGATGGTTCGAGTGAATCGGCGTCTAGTCCTGGATCGGAGCGATCAAATGACTCCTCCGATATCTTGGCCGAGCTCATCAATAGCGGTGCGGCTGCAGATCGGTCCAGTATCTTCGCTCAGGTTGCTGCTACGCCCGACGATCCTCCGTCGACCCCTAGTCGGTCCCAAGATCCTGCAAGACCGGTTTCTATTGATGAGGCTGTTACCAGAGCGATGCAACGATACTTCACTCTGGTGCACAGCAGTCGCCCGAGCTCTGATAGTGGCTCTCAACGTGAACGTGATGCTGCGGCACAATTGCTACAAGAGATTACGAGAGCTCTCCGCATACAAGCGGTGCACGCCAGACGACTTAATGAGCCTGTGAGAGTAGTCCACGACAAGCCTCTGGTGTTCGACTCATCGAAGTGGGCGTGGGTCGATGAGCAGGCGTTGTTCGCTGGACGGACCGCAGCAGCAATTTCTGTTGGGTCTGTGTTTCCGGTCAGCTATGGCTGTGAGCCACGCCGCAGTAGCAGTGGTGGACTGAGGCACTCGTGTAAGCGGAGTCGTGTTGAACGCACTCCCAGTGCTTCTGCGAGAAGGAGATGAAAGTTTATACTCGTTATCAGTTGTTCGTTTGACACATTGCATAACTGCTGTATACAGACGTTGTGTGGCGTCTCTAAGAGATTGCTACTGATCTTCTGAAAGGCTGCGGTCAAGTTGTGATGTTTTGAACGGTAGCCATAGCGAGTTGTTTAGGATCGATGTGTAGCGGGCGAGGTTTTGATCCGCTTTCTGAGGGTGTGTATTATCCAGTGTGGATTAGAGGTTTTAGAGAAGAAGTTGTGCATATAATTCATCACGTACTACTATGTATGTTTATGCTGCGTACTGATACTATCATTGCTGCTGCTCTATTGGCTGTCGATCAGAGCAGTTTATAATCATCACCAGCTAGTTACGCATCTAGGTTGAGTCCGCGGCAACGAGTGACGCAAGCCTCGCTTGGTGCTATCTCAACTTGATGTATGCATGAACAGTAGATATGTGAGTGATCAAATCGGCTGTTGTGTTATAGTCAACTCCCGTGGTTGAGCTCCGTGAGGCTGCCAAGCACTACTGATTATGGAGACTTGGAAAAGTTTCTATTGATGTCCCTCGTGTCGCCAACATAGTCTCAGGCAAGGACATGTATAGACAAAGTGGAACACCATAACCTTTGGGAATACTAGGTAGAGTATCTTCTTATTAGATTATCTTCTCGCCAGGCCGTGTCACTCGGTCTGTCCCCCTCACCTTGGCTCATTTGGGTACGAGCGTGGTCACCACGTGTACTCACGTTCGTACTCATGTACATCGTGGCACCACGAACAAAGTAAGGCAACTGTATTGGAATGCATTCTCAAGCAGTCGATAAGGGAACCCCCCTACTTACGGGTTTCCCTCCGCAATTATCTAGTCTCTCAACACGCGCTACAGAACTCTTCACAACGACATTCAGTGCCCTTATCCGCCTGCCGTGAAATATTTTTCAAGCGAAGAGAATTGACATCTACGAGGGAGATTGAGTCACAACAACTGCGCGGAACACAACCATGGAGACATACTGACGGAGGTTATCAAACTACCGTCTCCACGGGAATGAAGTTATTTCATAGAAACTAATGATAATTTCGGTCCGAAATGGGCGGAAAAACAACTCAACATAACTTATACTATAATGTGATTTCGTCGTTTGACTATAAGTCTTATAGTTAAAGGACGAAACCACATTACTGTGCCTTGTCCGCTGCAGCTCTTCCTTTTCTTTTTCTCATTATGAGAATCTCATAAACTTCCTGTTTTTTGGCTACGCCTCTGTGCAGCTCTTATTCTTCTTCTTTCTCTCATAGACTTCCGGGTGCCCACAAGACACGATTGGTTGATATCCTTAGAGGACATCGTTTGAGAAGAGGCTTTGCAGAACTACTACTCTATATGATACAAGTCTTTGTGCAAAGTTTGAGGAAAATGTATAGGTCAATTAAAAAAATCGCTCCGAGTATATGCGCCTTAGATAAGATATTTTCCGGTGGCATAGACCACCCGCGCTCGCCCTAGACCCTCGCGGGGCCCTTCCCAATCGGGTGGAAGTTTGTGAGGTATCCCGCACAGAGCTCGCCCTCCGTTCACCAATATCATCTGCCCAGCAACGCCCCTATGGTCAGGAAGTTCCGCGTATACCTCGACAAACAACTGCACGATTTTAAGCTCGGCGCTATCCTGTCGCCGGAATCGTGAGTTGCATTTTCTCGGGCAGCATTTGCATCTCTTTAATTTCCCTCAGCTGGCAGAGAGGAATGTTAGAGCTCGTCGCTTTGATCGAGACGTGAGAGTTGGTGATATTATCGTATCGGTGATTGATTCGTAACTTCACCAGGTGCAACCGTGAGAAGCTCTCTCAAAATATATATTCGATTGAGAATAAAGTCCTTGATGATCATTGAAATGGCCATGCCATAGCCTCTTTCAAAAGAAAGGATACTTAGTAGCTCCTTTGGCTCGGGTGCCGCCCCTAGAAAAGGGCATCTTTTAGAGGCTGCCCACTTTTCTTCTAACATAGTTTCCAGCTGATGATAAACCTTTCGCAGCCCACTATTAACATAACTGAGATTATCAGCAATAGTGCCTCGACCAATATTATGGGTCCCATAAGGCTGGTTCGGAATAGGGAGGTGAGAAAGTCGGTCATACCACACGACTTGCCCACCACCGCCCCCAGTTTGACATGCAAGTTCAATGGTAGTGTCTGTTAAAACCGAACGAGCGACCATAGCGAATGATCCGCCCAATATAGTGCAACCAATGGTCATAAACCGTAGCAACACACTGAAGACCCTATTATCCTGGATAATTTATCCATATCGTCCTAACTCGATATGGATCCCTATACAAGCTTGTACAAGTCAGTAACCAGTACGAACCAGCAATAAACAAACCGTTATACAGAACTCGTACAAAGCCAGCACAAAAACCGTAGTACGTGAAAGCAGCACGCATGCATAGCAAGTAGCGCTCGCCTATGACCAGCATCGCAGAATCCTTAGTGTCATCGCGCCGTGCGGACGCGCGCATTATCTCTTTTTCTTTCCCCTCCAGAATCATTATTTCCCCCCCATTTTAAATCCTACTTCTCGATCAGATTTGCCACTCCATATAGCGTTGTAACCAGTTTGGGAAAGACTTTCTATGCGAGCAAGCAACGCAGTGACGCGAGACAGTACCTGCACCCGAAAAATCCGAATCTTCGCTCACATTGTAGAACAGCTCAGCCGGCCGCCACCCGAACAACTTGTAAACTCAAACTCAGCAACGAGAACGACCTTTCACGCCTGGTCAGGCGTTAATTGTGAGAATCTCTGCAATAATGGTCGGACCGGGGATCGAGCCCGGAATCAACATTCTATTGTTAATCTGAACGTACGCCGGTGCAGGTCTGTCGCGCACGCCTAAACACTTGAAGTTCCGCCAGATAGCCAGATAGTGGTTCACTGTTGAGCACGTGTCCACGTCTCAAATTTCGTTGCATCGTCAGGTCACACCTGACTCAGTGGTGTAATCGATCCCCAAGGCGAGCGCTTTTTTACTTAGCTAGTAGTCAAGTCGATAGTCAGAGGCAGAGACAGGAACAGGTCTGTAGCCATCTTGGCTCAAGTTGTACTCTTGTGTTGATCAAGTCCAATGGAAAGTCCAATAACGGCATCGGGCGAGGCTTCCATCTGTTGGCGATCTCGGTGGGACCTCTTGAATGAGCAGCCAGGACGCCCGGAGAAGGACGAGGTTATCGACGTGATCTATGCCGCCGTAGACAAAGTCTTGGACTTGTCGGTGGACCAAAGGGTCAAATCACGAGTCGGAGCCATCATCAGGAAAGTCTCGACGGATCTGCAGAGCTACTATGAGGACCAGTTGCCAGAAGGGTGGAGACGTCTGAACGCGAATGAGCTGTTCGGTGATCTGATACAGACCGTCTTCAGGGAGGTCTATTGGAGTGTGCAAGATAGCGGATACTCGGACGATGGTGGCGCTCTTGAGTTAGCTCTCTGTATCTCGGCGCAGACTGTGAAGACTTTACTGAAGCTGAATACTGTTGATGGCTACTCAGAGTTGATAGCTGAGCTTGTGGGGAAGATGCGGTCGGATGAGAGCTCAGAGTTGAAGGATGTTGAGGGGGGAGCATCGAAGACGAAGCAACGTGATACTATCGAGACCAAGGTCGATGTGAATAACCTACCTTTGGTCGATGGTGCTCCGTGGTCCCTGGACAAGAAGACCGCCGACGGTAAGATCAAAGTCACCTATGATTGTGTGAAGCGTCGAATCATTACAGCTTGTGAGAGCTACGGATTGAGTGGGAGAAGAGCATGCTTCTTCGTTGTTAAAAACTTCGATGGAGCAGAGCGAACATTCGCTCAGAAAGCCCTAGCGGCGGTCCCAGTGGAGAACCAAAACCCCTTGGATGCCTTCTTTGGGAAGATGGATGCCAAGTACACCAACTACTGGTCGGAAGGGCGTGCCTTGAGTGAGTTCACCACTCTGAAGAAGCATCAGGGTGAAGACCCCATCACTTATCTTAATCGCTTATCCGAAATTGCTGACACGTTACCAATCAGCGAAGGTGAGCTCCGAAAGCAGTTTCTACAAGGGTTGAGTTCAGGATTGGTAAGTAAGCTGAGATCGTGCTATGGCCCTCGGTTATACTCGAAGCCGTTGGACAAGATAGCAGATAGCGCTTCATATTATGAGTCGGAGTACATGAGAGAACGAGTTGATAAACCACAAGCTCAGCCGAGTCGAGTGAATCCAGATGTACCGCTAAGAGGGAAAGGGCTACCTCGTGAACAAGCACAATCGACTGGGGGGGCCGGGACGGCGGCTACTCAATCGATCGGTGGGAACCGACCATCAAGATGGTCGAATGGTGCACCACGGTGCTATCTATGCTCACAAGTAGGCCATCTCAAGAGAGATTGTCCTCTGAAGGGCCAGCTGGATAACCGGAAGACCACTGAACCAAAGGACCGTGGTAAGAGTTCCTCCTCAACGAGCGAGGTAAAACAAGGATTTGTGAACGTCGAGATCGGCGCCAATGTCGTCGAAGCGACAGGCTTGAATGGTGAGGACGCCGCCAAATCTAATACTATACACTCCTTAAGTGGAGTGGACACAGTGCCTGAGTTGAAGTGTGACGTTGGGAAGTATGGTCGTTACAATCAGACAGCTCTCCTAGATACGGGAGCGGGATGCTCTCTCATCGGAGCAGACCTCGCTGCTAGGCTACATAAGGAAGGACGAGCTGTCGTCTTGACGACTCCCAAAATCATCCGTCTGAGATTTGCTAATGGAGGAGTCGAAGAGTCCGACCACGAACTGATAGTGCCCATCGGAGTCGAGAAGAAGCGAGAAGAAGTGACCTATTACTTACCATTCGTTGTATCTCGTACACTGGGGGCAGGAATCCTTCTTGGTCGTCGTGCATTATGTTTGATGGAAACCAAACTACGGTTCGGTGGGGTGAATCCACGTGAGCTTCAGAAGTTGGAGAACGTCTTCCACCAGAACGTTGTAAGTGAAGCTTCCCATCAACCTGGTGAGAACGGCTCCTTAGCAGCTGAGAAGAATACTGTCCAGCAAAATGCTGTCTACGTCCAGATCAACCAGGTAACTGATGAACCGGTGGTGTTGGACGAGGAAGCTGTATTAGAAGATGGTCTAGGATGGTCTAGTAAAGGAGTGGTCGAATCACGAGAGTGGTTGGAGAAGACGGTTGAACAAGCTCTCCCTCAACTCGATGGACCTCTTGATAACGATAGTGACATCGACATCGATAAGCTCAAAGTTGACGCGAAGAAGTGCCTCGATGAGCAGGTTCGAAAAGGATGGATCCCCATAAGTCGAGGATTCAGAGGCCGAGTCGCATCGAAGGCTGATATAATCACTCAAGATACCAGTACCCAAGCCTACCAATTTCAAATCTCGTGGGATGTCAACGATGTGGACCTACACGACAACGTGAGACGAGGACCATGGGATAGTTCGAGGCTTATCGGAGATCTATCACCATCTGAGAAAGAAGAATGGGATCACCAAATAGACGGATATGTATCTAGAGGGTGGTGGGTCGAAGAACCCTCTGGGCCTCCAGATGGGGAGAAGCACCTAAGTGCGACATGCTTCCCAGTGCGTCAATGCGCGATGAAGACGACTCGAATCCGCCCATGCATCGATCTGAGAAGGGCCAACGACCTTTCGCCGAAGCTGAAAGCTGCAGCACCAACTGGAGTGGGTCCGACGTCGATCAGTGATGCTATCCTGAAACTACGGAGTAGTCTCGACGCTCACAAGCAGTACCAGATAGATCAATATGATCTAGAGAAGGCGTTCTACTCTATTCGGATTCTACCTAGGTCAGCTGCTGACGGGAGACTGTTGAAGGTGTGGATCCGTTGTGGGTCCACGTGGTACAGTTCATGTTGTCTGGTCTTCGGAACCAGTGCGGGACCTCTTTCCCTGAACTACTCTCAACTCACCTTGCTGACTATCATGCGACATATGTTATCGAATGTAACCTCTCAATCGGTCTGGATCCCAGTGATGGATGACTTCCTGGTCGTATCTCCAATGAAAAAGGGATCCACGAAGGTGAGTGACAAGTCTAAGGCCTGTATGGAAGTCCTATGGGAGCTCACCGGCTTCCGAGCTCCTCAGTCGAAGAGGGCACGGTGGGATGCCAGCCACGAACAACGATGGCTAGGAGCTCATTGGACTTATGACTCTGAGACGGGTCGGCTATCAATGAGGAGGCCCACCTGCGAGAAGCCCTTGGAAGGAATGACGAAGCGAGCTGTATATCGAGCTGCTGGTCAGTTCCTACTCTTTACTCAAGGAGCAGCCGAAGCGATGAGTCGCTCCCATGCCGATTCGATGAGGCGCATCTCCGGAAAGTGGCCAGGTTGGGACACTGTGTGTACCGATACGGAACAGTGCAACCTGATCCACGATCACCTCAAATGTGCGCAGCGGCACTGGGTCGATTGTTCTGAAGAAGATCAGAACCTCTGTCTCCTACAGGAAACCACGAAGATTGTAGTCGAAGTAGACGGCTCACAAGAAGGCCATGGTTTCCTCGCCATCGACGCGAGCGAGCTCTCTGACGATGGTGACCGAGACCAGCTCGGTGATATAAAATCGAGGGTGGTGATCGCTGATGCGAAGGCCTTTAATGAGAAACATCTCGGATGGCATTGCAATCGGCGGGAGTTGACCGCGATTGCATTCGCCATAAAGCGTATCGATGACATCCGGTGCCTACTCCCATCTCTACAAGTGGTCATCATTCGCACAGACAGTAGGGTCGCTAGCGGTCAAGTAGACCCTTGGAGCCGGGTAGCCACGAAGAGTCTTGAGCGCAAAGCTCTCCTACGGTTGAGGAATGTGGTAGTCGAGACTGTCTTCGATTGGAAACTGCACGGAGTAAAAGCTCGAGTCCAGCATATCAGTGGAGTCAGCAACGTCACGGCAGATAAGCTGTCAAGAGCAGTATCCGAACGACGTTACCAAGAAGCAGTCTTAGAAGGTCGAGAACGACCTACGGTGGTATCTAATGTCAATTTGTTAACGATCACGACTTTGGAGGAGGGTGTCGACGGATTAACGAGGATCTCAATCCCAAGTTTCCTTCGATTCGTTGACCTGCACTCGACATTCCAAGCCTGGCGGGGTGCAATAACCACTGGGAGTAGTCTTGTGGAGTCCGACAACAACGAAAAGGTCGAGCTGAATACTACTACACCTCCTGATGGCCTACGTAAAAGGTGGCTCCGAAAGATTCAAGCCGATGATGATGAGACGGCTCAAGCCATCGCACAGTTGAAGGAACCTACCCATGATCCCACCACTCCTACTCCGATCAACGGTTATCTGTATAACCTCTTCATCGACGATGATGACATCCTGAAAAGAAGAACCATGAGGGGAAGTCTCTCCTCCAGAACTGGCCAGGCAGATGAGCATATTCAGACGGTGATGCCAAAGTCCATCATGGCCGAAGTGGCTACAGCAGTTCACGCTGAGCTCGGCCATGCAGGATTTTTAGCTACCTTCAGAGAAGTGTCTCAACACTGTTGGTCTCCTAAGTGCCGTGAGATTGTCAAGACTGCTCTCTCAAGATGTATGTCCTGCATTCGTACCGTGCCAAAGGCCAGTAATGTCTTGAAGGCATTCCCCGGTCCTGCTATCATTCCGCAATGGCCTTTTCAAATTGTCGGAGCTGACCTTTTTGGTCCAATCCGATTACGGTCTCGAGAACGCCAAAAGGCGGTTGATGATGAAGCACAGAAAGGAACTTACATCCTTACTGTGACGGATAGGCTAACTGGATACTGCCGCTTCGAACTGCTTGCGAATTGTCGCTCGCAAACTGTGATCCGTGCGTTCGAGAGGATCATCTGCTGGGAACTCTGTGCTGATACTCAAGAGTGCTGGACCGACCGTGGGTCCCAATTTATGAGCTCGGCATGGGGGTCTATGTGCTTGTTGAGCAACATCCGTCATCGAGTGAATCTACCATCAACACCACATCTCGGAGGATGGTGGGAAACTCATCATAAGCCTCTTACTAAATGCCTCAGAAGTCTATTCGACAGTTGTCCCACTCGTGATCTACAGGAGATGGTCAGCATTGCTCAAGCCCGTATCAACTCTAGTTTGGGCACTGATTCTCGGCCAAGTGCCCATGAACTGGTCTACGGATGGAGACCATGCCTACCTTTATCGAGATTACTCGCCGGAGAACGACAACTCGAAGAAGACTATAGTACTATCTATCCCACCATTCTACCAGAAGATCCGCTCCATCGTGAACAAGCAGTACAGGAAGCCATCTCTCGTGGTGCGCACCGTCGAGATCTCTTGGCACTCTTCAACGAGGCCTGGATACAAAGTCGTGCCGAACGCTATGCCCAGCTTTATAAAGATGCTGCTAAATCTGGCACTCTATCTATTGGTGATCGAGTGGTATGGCTACAACAACGTCGCAATAAGTATGGTAAGATCGTCCATGATGATAGGGTATTTGTTGTAGTTCGGTCTATCGGAAACCAATGTTATCAGATTAAGCCGCTCGACGATCAATCCTCTATTGCTGACAACCCCTCTGGATGGCCTACCATTCACAGGAGGAATTTATATAAAATATTTGGGGATGGTTCTGATACTATCTCTGGTCTTGACAATTCTACGGGAGAGCGAACCCCTGCAGTTCCTACTCCTGATCGGTTTGGCGCCGACGATGACCAAAACGAATCTCCTATTATTGACACTCAACCCAACAATACTCATTCAAATCCCAATTCTGGAACGGTCGAGAAGACCTTCAATGATGATGATAAGAAAGCTACTACACCCACTACTGTTACCTCCTCTGTTGCCTCTCGTAGGAGCTCGGTCATCCCTCATCGCATGGAATCCTCTCAGCAGGGTAAGCGAAAGGGGGAGAGTCGAGAGCTCCGATTTCTGTCGTCTATCGATAAATCTGTTAGCCGCTATGGTCGCTCTCGAAAAGGGGGAGTGATGGTGTAATCGATCCCCAAGGCGAGCGCTTTTTTACTTAGCTAGTAGTCAAGTCGATAGTCAGAGGCAGAGACAGGAACAGGTCTGTAGCCATCTTGGCTCAAGTTGTACTCTTGTGTTGATCAAGTCCAATGGAAAGTCCAATAACGGCATCGGGCGAGGCTTCCATCAGGTGTGGTCATTCCTGGCCGCAGGCTCCTATCCATTCCCACACTCTAATTTTCGCGGTACTGATTTCACACAACGTTGTGTGCCGAGAATCAATATAATGCTGGATAATTACGTTGAGGGATCAGGATTGTCAATACCACAGAGCAGGAGTCAGTTCACATCCTATACTCAAATTGGAGGATTCTAGCGGCCCTCACCTTGCTGTCGATTTCAGTGCTTTCCTGGGTTAACGCTCAATGATCGGGGAGCTCGTTAAAGGTCTTGACTACTTCACCTGGGCTGTTCCCGCAGCTGGACCCATCCGCTCAGCATTCGGCCCGACGGACCCAGCAACGATGATGAACTCAGAGTCCAGTCCATATCCTGACCCGGATAATACGGTGGGCTATCCACCTGCAGGTCGTCGGTTCCAACCCGTCATATTGCGTTTTCCACCCAGGAAGCCCCAGCAAGGTGTCGTACTGGCCATTCAGCTCGCGGCGAAGGCCTGCCTTGGGCCCCGTCTGTGCGGACTCTCTACGATGTATTCCTTCATGCCGTGAAAAGGTCACTTCTTCCTTCGTATTTTTGGCCGTCCATCACGTATTTTCAGCCATTCCAATTCCAAGTGCCAAGGCACTAGAGAGCTCGTTCGTTACGTCGACATGGGTCAGCCCTTACCTGGGAAGGAGTTCGGCAAGACCATATGGCGTAAGTCTTGTTGGAGGAATACATGTTCGCTCTCCTCAGCTGGGCTCAGGAGTTTATATACGGATTCGGGTAGAAGTATACAGAAACCAACAATTGAATTTCCCAAAACTTCCATATCGTCACCCTCGACACATGTAGCTGAACATGTGCATATTCCCCGCCCCCCCCACACTTTGGGCCATCCGTGAACTCAGGTACTTACCGTGAAGTCAATAAGCGTGTGTTGGCCTTCGGAGCCGGTCTGCGTGCCATTGGAAACAACCCGCAGCCACACTTCGTTGCCGATGTCGATTCTTTGGTGAGTTTAATCGTTGATTCGAAGAACTTCCACCTGTTCTACGTGAAGTGGCATGATACTCTGTGGAAAACCCGCGATATTCGCGGTGATATGCAATAGTGTTCATAACACGGGTGAAACTTTAATGAGGTTAATGATTTTCTCGCAGGGCGGGCCCATTTCCCTCGTCATTTTCGAGGATACTTGCGCTCAGTGGATCACTGCGGCCCTTGGAGCTTGGTCTCAGAATATGATAGTAACTACCATATATGGTAAATTGACGATACCACCAGCGCTACCCAGACTGAAAATGCCAGGTACGTTGGGACCGGACGCAGTGTCACAAGCCTTCATGGAGGGCCAAGGGACAACTCTACTGTGTAACAGGAAAAAGGTGAGAATCGGGAATAGGGCCTGCTGGCATTACGCGTAGGTGGCTGGGGTCGTCGAAGCTCGAGAGACGATGCCCACGTTGAGGCATATCATCTACACTGATGAGGGAGTTGACAAGAAGGAGAGGATGAAACCTTTGCAGTTGGCAGGTGTGCTCTTTCTCTCTTTATTAATTCTGCATCTCAAAAATACACTGAAAACATTAGTGAAAAACATATTTTACAAACCCCTGCATATCACCGCGAGCATCGAGTTCCTAATTGAATATTACGCCACTTCACGTAAAACGGGTGAAACTCCATTGATTGAAGTAGATACTCACGGCATTGAGATTATCAGTTTCGAAGATTTGCTCCGACGTGGATCAAGTGTCATCAAAGAGTGGCCCCCGGTGTTGCCCGGCAAGGACAGCATTGCTACTATCATGTACACATCTGGTGAGTCCTCTGGGGCGATGAATTTTCCAGAGCTAATCTTACGAATGTGGGAAAATATGCATATGATCAAACACATGTGTTGGTGACAAATGGCTTTGAAGTTCTCAGTGGTTTCTGTACATTTGTACTCGAATTCGTATGCGAACTTGAATTCTAACTATTGAGGAAACTCTCAAGCTCAGCTGAGAAAAGCGGAAATATATTCCTCCAACACCGGAGTTTCACGACCCTAGTGATATGAAAAACACTGGTGAAAAACATATTTCACGACTACTGCATATCATCGCGAATATCGCGTTTTTCACCGAGTGTTGCGTTATTTCGCGTAAAACGGGTTGTGAAACTCCACCGAATTTCACCAGGTACGACTGGCCACCCTAAGGGTGTTGTCATAAGACATCGCCATGCTGTATTCTGCATCCGCTCGGTACTGCCAGTTGTTCTTGAGCGTCTACCGTCCAACTTCACTCATCTGGCGTAAGTCCTTATTTTTTCTAAAAGAAGTTGATTCCCTCTTTGTAAGGTACTTACCTCTGGCTCATATTTTTGAACTGGCGGTTCACTTGGGGTGCCTTAGCTGTGGTGCGAGCATCGGATATGCTGATCCTAGTAGGCTCGACCCTATGCACAATGTTGGAAAATGTGTTCGATCATATATATTCTTAGTAGGGCTCAAGAGTTCCCTCTTGAAAAAATACAAAATAGGGTAGAAATGTAGAGAAACTAATGAGTATTTCCCCAAGTTTTCACCAAAAATTGTCATATTGCCACCAACACATGTACCTGATCATATACATATTTTCCCTTCAGAAAGTCTAACGGCTACTTTGAGTAAACCGCGTGGAGCTCTGGAGGAATTCAGACCGCATATGTTCATCGGGGTTCCTAAGATATTCGATGTCATTATGAAGGGAGCTTTGGCGAAGATTGCCGCGGAAGGACGTAAGTCCATGTGGGAAAATATGCATATAGTCTGGTAGCCGTATTAAACTTTGAGGAAATTATTATTGGTTTCGGCACATCTGTATTAATGAGAAAGCTTTTGAGCTCTGCTGAGGAAAACGCACGTATATTCTAACCGTGGTCGCTGTTGTATTTACGGAATTTATTTTTTTATATTGTTGTTGGTCTCTGTAGATACGAAGAGGAGCCTCATTAACGCCGCATTTGAGTCAAAGGCTAAGGCCATTGAAAGTAGCATGTTGTTGTCATCATCGTTAATTGCTCATTTTCAGATGGCAGATTTACTCCCATATTCGACCGTCTAGTTTTCTCCAAGTTCCAAGCTCTTCTAGGTGGACGAGTAAAGTGAGTTCCTACTACTACTACTATTGTACGTCGAGGTCATACCACAGTATGTAGGATATGCGTATCGGGTGGAGGTCCGCTCTCTGGAGATGTCCAGAGATGGGTGAGAACAGCCTTTGGATGCCAAGTTATTCAAGGCTACGGCCTCACAGAAACTAATGCAGGTGCCACGATTCAACTGTAAGGTTATTTCGGACACTTGCGAATGATTTAGATTATTATATTTAGTGCTGGTGACATCACCATAATTCGATACATTAATGATTATATGTTAACCTAGTAGACAGATTTGTATATTGGAGTTGATTATATGTTAACCTAGTAGATAGATTTGTATATTGGAGTTGATTATATGTTAACCTAGTAGATAGATTTGTATATTGGAGTTGATTATATGTTAACCTAGTAGATAGATTTGTATATTGGAGTTGATTATATGTTAACCTAGTAGATAGATTTGTATATTGGAGTTGATTATATGTTAACCTAGTAGATAGATTTGTATATTGGAGTTGATTATATGTTAACCTAGTAGATAGATTTGTATATTGGAGTTGATTATATGTTAACCTAGTAGATAGATTTGTATATTGGAGTTGATTATATGTTAACCTAGTAGATAGATTTGTATATTGGAGTTGATTATATGTTAACCTAGTAGATAGATTTGTATATTGGAGTTGATTATATGTTAACCTAGTAGATAGATTTTTATATTGGGGTTCCTTATGATAGAATATATATAGTACGCGCAATGTGAAGGGTTCGTTTCATATCATCGGCATAATTTCTCAACTAGAGCTCAAATAGAGTAGAAATGTTGTATATAGGCTTTCCCAACACTATGAAATTGTTTAAATAGATCAGGGATGAAATTCTCGAATAAAATCCTTTTTTGAGAGGCATCAAGTGGCAACTTCTGAGCAGGAAAGAACGTCCGACTGTTCTACCCGTCTACTGTTCAGGATGGACGACCTTAGAACGGGTGTAGTGGGTCCACCTATTCCTGGTATGGAGATCAAGCTTCGGTCATGTCTTGATGCTAAGGGTGAACCCGAGATCT